TGAGTTTAGGAAGGGCGTCGATCAACACCGTGACAATCAGCCGAGAGAAGACAAACATTGACCGTAATTCATGGAGATCATGTCCGTAATTTGTGGGCTAAAACCCCAAATAATTAATCAAGTATTATTATTTTAATATATATTTTATTTTACATCGCAAAACTAAACCATGCCCAAAACAGAGCTAGAGTTGTTCGCGGTGAAACAACCACATTGAAGACAATGCAACTTCAGCTAGCCATTTCTTACCTTGAAATAAAAAAAATAAAAATTCGAAGAGCATCGGGGAAAATATTAATAATCATCCTTATCAATCGCTTGCTTTATTTTATTCGAATCCATGAAATTCACGATTTTTTTTTACATTTGTTGGCAACTTCCGCGCTAAAAAAGTCCTGTTGATAATACGGACAAATATGGTTCTGTGACCCAGTTCGTGCTCCGATCAGGTGACTCTCAGCCAATCAATGATGTTGTAACAAAGCATATTTGACGCTAATTGAAGGGTCGTCGTACAATCCAATCACCGGCGTCGATTCACATAGTTTTTTGTGCTGTGACAGGCTTCAAAATTATTCGCTGAAAAACATATATTTTGACAAACTGATGGAATTTGACCTTAGTTCAAAAAGAAAATACTAGGGGAACTGATCATTACCACCAAGCCGGTTTCCTGTGAGTCTCCTGCGGCATGCGTTTCTTTACCGTACCGGCCGTTTCTTTACTGTACCGGCCGTTGCTTTACCGTACCGGCCGCTGCTTTACCGTACCCGAAGGTCATTAGCCGTACCGGCAAGGCCGTTACCGTACTGGCAGGAGGCAATTCACACTTCTGACAAGTTAATTTATGCATTGATTTTCCGGTTTACCGGTAAAATGCCGACCTGTTTAAATTTCAGTTTTATGCACAGGATCGCCTGAGAAAGCAAAACTGTAGAATTAATTTGAGTAGAATTTGTTTAGTTTGTAGTTATAGTCTGTTTATAAATCATTTTGTTCATGTTTGCTATGCAGTAGCTTTCGAGGTCAAATACACCACCAGGTCAATTTGTTGCGTCTTTTTATTTGTCAGAGATTAAACTTTTCCATTATTATTGCATAATACAAATGTATTTACATTCAAGTTGCGCGTGATAATGCTACACATGATTTTTTTGAGACCATGGAGCTCCCAGTACGTCCATGTGAACTGTTGGATACGACTACAGACGGAACTGCGTCTTTATTTTATACGATATTTTTATTTTTTTTAAATTGGGATCAGTGCTCCCAAATCAACTGAGCCGACAAAGTGGGTTACAAAAATAACAGTTCCATGAAAGTGGCTATATTTGTGTATGATGAATCCTGAGTCGGTAGTTTTGGCATGTAACCTAATGGTTTTGGTTATTGTTAAAAATGCACAGTGCAGACGTAATTTTGTTTTCATTTTTTCACTTTATCTGGCGCCAGTGCACGTGTGCTTGCAGTGTTCTCCCAGAAAATGTATC